TACCAACAAAGAATGAGTGATATAGTTCATGGTTCAACTTGAAGGGCACACAAGAACAACACAAGGCTGAAAAGAATGTAAACTCCAGTAATTGAATGCGCTTAGTTTGAAAGAAATGTTTGGGAGATTGAATGACCTAAAAGAATCCGTGTGTCACACCTCGGAAAAGTTGGAATGGCATAAAATTAACTAAAGAACGGATTATTAAGAAAAATAGAGGGTGAAAGGCCGGCTTTTGACTTTTACACTGTGTTTGGATCTTGTGCTTGAACATGAATTTGTAGAGGGAAAAGGAAAGGGAATGGATTGTGGTAAAAATATGGATCTATTTCATTCATTTTTCCTTCCACAAATCCTTTTTAATTCCAAACACAGCCTAGTAAGTTTTATATTCATTGAAAAGCAATTGTGTACATTCTAGCATATTCTTTTTTTAGATATTTCTCCAAAAAAATCCAGTCACTCCAATCACCTTTTTTTTTTTTTTTTTTGGACCTTTTCCTAAGCTAAAAGATGGATTCCAAAGTCAGCTTCTTTTTTAAAAATCTTCAATGCCCAGACCCACCTTTTTTAACTATGAGTTATCGATGTGTAGGTTGCAAAACAATACATAGAATTTAAATCTAACCTAAGAAGAAACTGACTATATATGAAAATGAAAACAGATAGTTCCCATTTCAATGGAATTGATTCCAATTAGAGAGAAAAGATCAGCAATGTAAAGATACTGGTATGAGGAGCAAGTAAACAATACAAAAATGCATACATATCCTTTCAACAGGATCTCATGAAGAAAAAAAAAATTTGCATGAATCATGGACTCACTCGAAATAGTAGAAGAATCAAATCTCTCAGCAATAGTACTAGAAGCACCTTTGGCAGAAGGTCAAAAAACACTCAATATTAGAGTCAGGGCTAATAATGGCAGCACATTTTCATCCGTATGCACTAAAAACAGAAAGTTACATGATAAAAGAGTGGTGTGTGGTGAATTGAACCAAGAGAAAGAAATACCATAATTTTTTTTTTATTTATTAATATCAAAAGAGGGATAATCTAAGGCAAGTAACAATCTAAACTATCCTGCAAAGATGCCATTTGGATCAACTACATGGTTTTCCTGATTGTTTGATTTGAATTTGACCTCAAAAAATTTAAGCCTAGTACATCCCAGCTACAGTTTCATCTAATAAGTCATCAATATCACTGAGATATCTTCAACACAAACTATTAAAAGTTAGCAGCCGGGAGGAGAGGGGGGAGGGGACAACATGAACTTGAATAAAAAAATTAAATTAAAAAAAAAATTGAATATGGCAACTCACTCAAAAAAAAAGAGGTGAAACTTGATCTTTATTTAACTCTTGCACAGATTGTGCATTTTAAATCTGAGCAGTAAGCAAAAAATTCTCTCAACTTCCAAAAATTAGGTGATGCGTGGTATTTATTGAAGGATATTAGCTAACATACTTAGTCAAAGTATGTATTATGAATTATCTTTTTCTTTACACAATATTTCAGTTCCCACATTTTAATAATTAAAAAGTTATTTCCTGTTCAATATCCCTCTTCTATTCAATTATACAAAGAAGCTTTCAAATTAAATTCTCGTCACGCCTATGGAACAACAAATTTTTGGAACAGTAGACACCATGTAACCATCAAACAGCTTTCAGTTTAAAAGTCTATACAAAATAAGCACCCCTTCCATTGCTTGGAAAGCACCAACATTTATAGTCATAAGATTGAAGCATTGCCGACATGTTGAAGCATTAAAGCATCTAATTAACCAAAGACTAAACCATTAGTCGCAGAAGCCTCCATACCTTTACATGAAGGAAACAAGAACCAAAGTCCAAATCGCAGTTGTGACCTGCACATCAGCATCACATGTGTAGTTGACCTGCATATCAGATTCCAGTATGTAGTTGACTTATCCCCAACACAATTGCATCATTGGAAAAAATAATGGGGATGTTGATTTTATCAAGGGTTCAAACAATTGAAAAAAGCATAGTCCTTGAATCAACTTGGTAATCACAATTTTATGAAACGAAGTTGCAAGCTGCTAAATATTTACATTCTTCGACCAGATATCTATCCAGCATTTATTTTTTTGAATTATCCTCGTTACTGAGGTGGCCCTTGGCCAGAGGTAAGGTTGTTCCATTGTGACCCAGGCGTCACAGGTTCAAACCATGGAAACAGTCTTTCAATATGTAGGGGTAAGGTTGTGTACATTTGACCCTCCCCAAAACCCTATAGTCTCGTGCCCTAGGACTACCCCTTTTAGTGATGTGACAGTTTGAAATTCTGCTTTCAAGAGCCTGAATGTAAAACTAAGACAATTTGATATTGAAAAGGCTTTACCCATTTTTCTCCAGCTAGTCTCACTCAATCCTATAGTTCCATTATACTTAGCTCATACTACTTGAAAGTTTATTTCTCCAGTAATACATCTGAAACTCGTACTCTACAAACTTCACTAACTAGGCAAACCAGACAACAAAGGGTCGATACGGGCCTTAACGGGTGATAAAACTTTCTGCTACTCTCAACGGCCTCTATATAAGCACTGCATTTCATAATCCCTGAAATGGGTATGAACAACTGCACCACCATTTTGTACTAGTCTATTTCAACCAACATTCACAATATATATATATATATTCTTCACGCCTGCAGGCTGCATACATTTCTATTCACCAAATCAAGTTACACAATTGTAAACCTTGACTGATCTCACCTTGAAACAGAATATGGAACAACAGAACCCACAACAAAAACATAGAAGAGTTCTTTACCGAACTTTTTCCACAATAACCTGAGCCTCCCAGCTTTCACATTGTATATGGCACAAAAGTAACTCAGAACACAAACTGACCACCCCAGAAGGCCTTTTGCAGAATAACAACTGTACAAAGAGAAAATGATAATTTCAAAAGTACCAATTATAACATCTATCATTAGTTGCCTGCATAATAGAAAATTTGAAGATAGTACTTCAGCTTAAAAGAATGTGAAGACAAATGAGGACTCTGATGACTGTTCCAGAGTGAAACAGTTCTACGGAGAGAGAGAGAGAGAGAGCACAGGAAAAGGGAAATTGATGCTAAATTTACAAGGGCTAATTTGGTCCCTTCACAACTTACTGACCAAATGCAATGCACTCATATTGCTACTTGCATCAATTCATCACCAAATTTCACACACAAAACTCTTGCACAAAAACAACATTTTGAGGGAATGCTGGTAGCAACTGGTAGGGATCCTATGCTAAAAACCAGCACAATTGGCAGCACATGGTAATTGCCTTCAATTCCTATTTACAAATGTTACTTTGGGCAGTCAAGCAATGTTTAACAGCGCAACTAGATCAGGCATGCTGTGGAATGAGCACGTGAGCGGACTTGTTAGGAAAGAAGAATGAGCCAATTAGGGGAAATTATCTGTATTAATGGAATGGTATAAACTCACCTTGTCTAGTTAATGTAGCGCTTTAATTATCCTTTAAGGTCCATTTGAGAATTAACCCACAACCTTTATTTTACAACAAATACATTAATAGATCATCCTTCTGGAGAGAACATACAAATAATAATTATACAGTTCAATTTAATTCCCTGCTCTTAATCTGCATCCCATTCTCTTACAAGCTCCACCTATTATCGGCCATAACAATACTTGCATGTCTCACAAATTTCACAACCACCAGACTCTTCACATGGTCTCATCTTCTTATGCCACATTCTAAAACTCTCCCTATCTTCACCACAAGATGCATTGGGGCGTTTGATAATAAATAAGCCACAAACTTGTGGCTAACGTGTTGTTTACTACTTGAGTGTCTAGTCTTACATGAAGGGAACATCAAAAGCATCCTAGATTAACAATTATCTTCTTTGTAACACTAGATACTTAGGCCTCGTTTGGGAACAGGTTATTTTAATAACTTTTTGGCTAAGATATGAGGTAAAAAAAATTAATATGTTTGGAATGACTTTATAATTTTTTACGAAAAGACGTGCAAAAAATAGAGAGAAAATTGAATCTTTGACTTTTTTATATAAGTTATAAACTTTTTGATTTTTTTAATAACTTTTTGACTCTTAGACTAAAATATATGTATCCCAAACGAGGCCTTAATATAGACAATAACATAATTATCATTTATTGCGCTTGTCTAAACCAAAATCCCACATAATCAACGTGTTTACTCAAGTGCACAAAGTTCAAACAAAAGACAACTCATGTCATTCCAACCCAAGACCAAAAATACTGAATTAGCCCTCCCAGGAATCAAGCCATTGCGTGTTCATTCCAACAGAATTTTCTACTTAATCAGAAACACAATCACACAGAATTATTGCTCACTCAAGTTTACGCGTTTTTAGCTGTTCTTTCTTTAATTTCATGCTCCAATCACGCTAACTGCCGTTGGTCAATGGGTAAGCTAGAGAAAAAAACAACCAGACCCCACAAAAAAGGAGTGCAGAATCTAACAAACTAGCTTTTTTAGAGGAGCTTGACCCAATTCCGTTACGTTTTTTGAAAAGGGACATAACCACAACCAAGGCCGGCCCTACATAGGATCACAATGAATAAAGTGTTATCACAAATTTTAAAAACCAATAATGCTTTGGGTATTAAATTTTGGGTAACATATGATATGTCACCTTTCAAATTACTGACAACACATCAACGATCCAAAATTTAATACTTAAATATGGTCGCTATTTAAAAAGTAACAGGATAAAGTTGATCACATGCACTTTGCACAATAAGAGAACGCAGAGAATTTGATGAGATAATAGAATCAACGAGAACTACTGCAAAACAAAACTTTAAAAAGTCTACCAAAGAGACAAAAAAGATGCAGAGAAGGGGAATTTGATACCGAATTACATAAACAGATTCCGTCACATCCCGAATTTTGGTTAACATGTGTCACTTTTCAAATTTTAGATACCATATTACCATGTTCATCATTCAATCTAAAA